GGAACCTGTCCATTTTGACAGGGCTAAGGCTATAATCCACATTTCCAGATTTCCTCTTAAAACAGCCTTTTTAAACTTAACACCAAACACTTTAATTGGCCCAAAGGCCAATTTTATCCGCTTGCTGCCACATAGAGTATAAATATTTAAATTCTTTTTAAATGTTTAGAAAAGAACTATTTCCTCTCTCCCATCAAACATGACCCTATAACTTTGTCCAGTGTCAAGATTAGCCCTAACTTGTACATGCTCTAGTTGTACATTTTGTCAACTGTGTGAATAAAGAAAATAGAAAAACAAAAAAGATATTGACACAGGCTGAGGACCAAGCAGGTAATAGAAGAAGCAGCCAGTCCTCAGCACCCTATGAGAAGCATGTGGCACAAAACAGTGGTCTTCAAAGTGGGCTCCAAGCCTGGCCCAGCTGAACCAGTCACTTCAGGGAGTGTTGGTGGAGCTGGGGCTGATTTTCAAGCCCTTGCCTCATCACAGGTGATTCTGAAGGTCATTCAGGACTGAGGACCATTCTGCTCACCATGATTTGCTCTTATGTTTGAAACTTTTCCCTTAGCCGAAAGGAAATGACAAGTCTCATGCAGAAGAAATGATATCAAACTGACCTAGAAGTCAGCTACAAGCATTAGCTTAGAGTTGGGAACCATTAAAGAGCCAACAGGACTTTGATCTTCCTCAGACTCCAGGTGAAATGGAGTTCTCTGACCCCATGATTTTCAGATTCTGCTAATATTTACTAAACGCCTTGAACGCTGCAGACACTGTAGCAGACTGGCTGTTTACGTTTCAGTTCATCTCACAACCATCATGTGGAGACACCAGTGTCCTCGTTTTATAGATGATACTCAAAAATGGTCAAGTGACTTGACTTACCCAGTGCTTGTAAGTAGCAGAGTTGGTTGCATCCCAGTAAGAAACAAGGATACCGACCATTGCCTGGGAGTCTGCTGTGTTCCTGACCCTTTGCCAATAGCTATATACATGATTTCTTATGGTCAGACCTGCCCTGAACAGCAGGGAATGTTTTTATTCGCACTCTCCAGATGAGAAAACCAACACTCAGAAAGGTTCTGTAACTACCAATGGCATCACTAGGAAAAGGCCAGAACAGAATTCAGCACAGGTCTGCCTGGGTCTGTGCCCAGTGCAGGTCCAGACGCAGCTGGTGTAGCTGTGATTGTTTCCCAAGTCTCCACTGTGTTCCAGCTTGCTCTTGGCTGTTGGTGTGCAGTGGCACATAGGAGCTAAGGTAAGCTCCCCACCCCTACCTCCGCTCAGAGAGAAGACAGTAATTAAGGTCAGACTGCAGGCTCCCTGTTTCCTCATGCCACCGGGGGGGGGGGGGTGAGCGGCTGCTCTGGCAGCCACCCATGACCCGGGCCTTTGCCAAGGTGATTCAGATTCCACCCGAGTGCTGGGTTACTGTTCAAACGTGTCCGGGGTTCTCTGGGCACTTTGGTCCCTGCCACGCAATGAAATCCTGTTGTCACGGGCAGAATTGATTGAGAGATCGGATTCTGAGCAGCACTCCGCACCCAGGACTCGGGCGTCCTGCACCTCCCCGGGCACAAAGCTGACCACCCGCCATCGAGCCCTCGGAGGGAGGCCCGGGCGGGAGAAGGACCAGTGCGCAGAGCGTGGGCAGGATGCACCACTCCCGCCCGCCGCCGCTGCGAGTCCTTTGTGCCGGTTTCGTTTTGTCTTCTGGGGTAAAGGCTCCCTCTGCCGCCATCGCTTCTTTAGGAACCAGCTCATGTGAAGGGGCCCGTTAGTCACGGATTCCGAGTCATTGTGGAGGGATCGGGCGTTTTCAGTGCCAGAGCTTCCAGTGACCTTTTAAATCCTGAGATGAAAATCTCGGGGCATCCAGAGCCCTTCCTCACGGGATGCAGGGAAGAGAAACGACCGCAAAGTCTGAGGCACTTTTCCTGCTCTCTACTGAGGCCTCTCTGGGCAATAGTAGTTACAATAAGAGTGACAGGTTTATAGGGGTAAGACAGGAATAAAGACACAGACCTACTAGAGAATGGACTTGAGGATATGGGGAGGGGAAAGGGTAAGCTGTGACAAAGTGAGAAAGTGGCATGGACATATATACACTACCAAACGTAAAATAGATAGCTAGTGGGAAGCAGCCGCATAGCACAGGGAGATCAGCTTGGTGCTTTGTGACCACCTAGAGGGGTGGGATAGGAAGGGTGGGAGGGAGGGAGACGCAAGAGGGAAGAGATATGGGAACATATGTATATGTATAACTGATTCACTTTGTTATAAAGCAGAAACTAACACAGCATTGTAAAGCAATTATACTCCAATAAAGATGTAAACAAAAAAAGAGTGACAGGTTTAAAAGGGTCTTTATGTAGTGCCTGGGTCTCTATATACATCATCTTATGGAGCCACAACCCTATGTTATATCATTATTGCCACTTGTCAGAAGAGAAAGCTGAAGCTCTGGTTTACTATTCTGCCCAAGGGCACACAGCTAAGAGAGCAATGCTGGAATTAACATTCAGTTCTGTCTGACTGCCTGGCTCCAAAGATGCCCCTCAACGTTCAGACCACCTAAGAAATGTAGCCAGGACCCACCCACAGTGGTCCCTACCAGAAGGTAGGAGTTGCCAGCTAGGTTAGAATAGGCTGGGGAACTTCCCTGGTGGTGCAGTGGTTAAGAATCCACCTGCCAACGCAGGGCACATGGGTTCGAGCCCTGCTACGGGAAAATCCCACATGCCACAGAGCAACTAAGCCCGTGGGCCACAACTACTGAGCCTGCGCTCTAGAGCCCACAAGCCACAACTACTGAGCCCGCATGTCACAACTACTGAAGCCCACGTGCCTAGAGCCCATGCTCTGCAACAAGAGAAGCCACCGCAATGAGAAGCCCACACACCGCAACGAAGAGTAGGCCCCGCTCACCACAACTAGAGAAAGACCCAACGCAGCCAAAAATAAATAAATAAAATTTAAAAAAATTAAAGAAAGAATAGACTGGAACAGGAAATCAACTGTGAACCCTGAGGAAGCCTCCCTTAAAAATGAGGGGCCCCATTGCCTTAGTCAGCTCGGGCGGCTATAACAGTTACCATAGAACAGGCGGCTTAAACCATAGACATATATTTCTCCTAGTTCCAGAGGCGGAAAGTTTGAGATCAGGGTGCCAGCATGGTGGGGTTCTTGGTAAGACCCCTGCTTTTTTCTGTGTCCTCACAGTAGAGGACGAGGAAGAGAGTGAGCTAGCTTTCTTGCCTCTTCTTTTAAAAGCACTAATTCCATTCATAAAAGCGCCATCCTCGGGCTTCCCTGGTGGCGCAGTGGTTGAGAGTCCGCCTGTCGATGCAGGGGACATGGGTTCGTGCCCCGGTCCTGGAGGATCCCACATGCCGTGGAGCGGCTGGGCCCGTGAGCCATGGCCGCTGAGCCTGTGCATCCGGAGCCTGTGCTCCGCAACGGGAGAGGCCACAACAGTGAGAGGCCCGCGTACCACAAAAAAAAAAAGGCCATCCTCATGACCTAATTAACTCCCAAAGTCCCCAACTCCAAATACCACAACATTGGAGATTAAGGTTTCAACATACGGATTTGGGGGGACACACACATTCAAACCATAACACCCATAGTTCAGGGAAAGGGTTTAAAAAGAAAAGCTGATGACCCAAGTAGATCCTAGAAAGAGAGAAGGGGAGTGTTGGTGGTATTGGTCCCTGAGGTAGTGGTTCCAGACTAGTCCTGACCTGGTGCTCCTGGGAGGAGATTGTCTTCCCACAATGCACATGGGACTTTTGCAGCAAATGGGTTCAGCTGCACCAACAGGTCTGTTCTTCTGAGTAAGACCAGTTTTCAGTGGTGACACCCAGGGTCAGAGCTACCTATTTAGCATCTTTGTATAAATTTAAAAAGAAGGCGGCATCCCCTTCCTTGGGTGCCAGTTTAGTAGCCCAACAGTAAGCACGGGCTGGATTTTAGTTTCCACTCATCTCCTTGGGTGTGTAAGCTCCACAGTGTATATGATCTGTACAACTCTGTGAAACCGAGCTGCATGACAAGCAATGACAGTAGCAGATTTATAGACCCCAGTTCTAGACTCACTTGAATGGCAAAGCCAGTCTGAATCCCCTTTTTGGACTATATGTCTATTGGAGCGTGTAAGCCTCCAGGTTCTGGCTGCTCTGGGGTGAGGGGAAGACTCTAGCAGAGAGATACTAAGAATTCATGCAAATAAGGCAGTAGGTGGTTGAGCAATTAATTAAACATAAAGAAGCCTGGCTGTAAGTTGTCCCCAAATTGTGGTTTTGTTCATGCAAGTTAGACCACTCCTGCTCCAAGTCCCTGCTTACCACATGCTGTTACTGTGTTCTTGTCTTCTGTGAAGGTAGATACTAGGGATTCTCCTGGTCAGGTGTGAACTGATTGATGGAAAAAATTGCACTTAATCATAATGTATGATCCCTTTAATGTACCGTTGAATTTGAGTTGCTAATATTTTGTTGAGGATTTTGCTTCAATATTCCTCAGGGATATGGCCTTTAATTTTCTTTTCTTAGAGTGTTGTTATCTGGCTTTGGTATGTCAATGGAAAAATTGTTGCCTGCCATATCAGATAAAAAATAATGTTGCAGCCATAAAGCTACTACAGCCACCCAGATGGTGAGCCCTGAGGGAACTCAGGATGGAGACAAATAGGCTGCCCATAGCCAAGCCCTCACCCCCAACTACACACCCTGAGGGGATTCAGGGTGAGAAAGCACTGGGATACTGGCCCCAGATAGCTGACATGCATTTCAAAGGAATGACTTCAGTGAGCCCAGACCCTTGCATTTTCCCACACATAGAAAAGAGCTAACTTCCTTAACTTGAGATGTCTGGTTTTCTCAGTTAACAGTAATCTTTTGATGTTCCAACTACCTGGCCTTTGTCGCAAAAACTCCCACATATCCCGACTCCTCCCTTACCTCTTTGGAAGCATCTCTCCTCTGAGATGCTGTGTCCCGGGCTGAAGTCCTCAGTTTTGCCTGCTGAATAAAACATAACTCTCAACTTTTAGGTTGTGCATTGTTTTTCAGTCCAGGGGTATCAGGGAGATGGTAGCCTCATAAAATGCAGCTGGCTTGACTGTATGATCAGACAGGGCCACACGCTGTGTCCCATAGTTTGGTAGGGCCACAGGCTGTCATCCACAGCTGGACAGGCCGCTGGCTGTGCTCTGCTGTGGGCCTGGCTCCCTGCTCGGGTTGGGCCACCAGCTATGCTCAATAATCACCCTGGGCCTTAGGCTCTGAGACTGGGCAGGATTAGTGCCCAGCCTCTCTGGTTGGGTGAGGCCACAGTCTGTGCTCTGATGCTATGTAGGGCTGCGGGCTTGGCTCCCTGCCCAAACAGGGCAGTAAACTGGGCTCGGAGGCTGCTCAGGGTTCTCTCCCCATGCCCTCTTGTCAGCCAGGGCTGGAGGCTATGCTCAGCAACCAGGCCGGACTGAGGGCTTGGCACCCTGTCCAGGTGGGGCCATAGAATGAGACCTACAGCTGGACAGCCCATTGGCTGTGGACCCAAACTGGACAGAACTGCCCAAAGAGCTCCCTGGCCAGACAGGGACACTACCTCAGCTCTGTGGATAGGCATGGCCACCAGCTGGGCTCTCTGCTCAGGTGCCACCACCAGCAGGAACACAGTCGGCCAAGAGCCACATGCTGCTTTACTATGATCCTTATCCCCTCCTCCGTCTCTAGCTGATCCCTGCTGGTCTAACCCTACTGATTCCCCCAGGGATTCCTGTAAGGCAAGACTGAAGTGGGCCTCCTGGGTAGCATCCTGGAATGCTGGGGAAGCTGGATGTCCACCTTGAGCTCTCTTTTTCCCACAGGAGAAGTTGTAGGTCCTGGGGGACCTTCTAGGTACAGAGCCAGGCCAGCCTGGGGGAGGGGCAATGCAGTCAAAGGGAAGTCCTGCTCTTACCCTTCTAATGCAGTTTTTCCTGGTTTCTGTGATCCAAGGGTATGCTTCAACCCCACTCCTGGGTTCTGGAATCTTCAGAGGTGTCTTGTTGTACACAGTTGCTAGTTGGTCTTTCTGTGAAGGAGACAAACTGGGACCACCTATTCCATCATCTCGCTGCCATCCCTCCTCCTGACTGATATTTCTTTACTACTATTTTCGACCTTGAAAAAAAGTTATTTTTACACTGCTGCCAAACAAATAGAATCATGACTTATATAGTTAATTTCACGTGTTTTTAGGAATTCTACTAATTTCTGACTTTAACAAAAACTTCTTTTGGGAAATGAAAAGTGGGGGTCTTTCATGGGGTAAATACTACAAAGAAACTGAAACAGGGCTAGAGATACTGATTAGGATCAGGGTCTAGGAAAGCAGCTTAGTCACAAGGTCCCAGAGGCAAGTGGGACTTGGACTTGGAAATGTGATGAGGGGAAGTGAGGATGAGAGGGGCAGGTGAGACATTCAGAGCTGTTAGAACCAAGGAACGGCAGTTCCATGAGAGGCAGCATTTTAGTTCCAAGCCATCTTCGAAGGCATCTTGAAGTAGTGGCTGGAGCTGGCAGAGAATTTGGTAGCAAGGAAGGACAGAGTCTTGCCAATAGCAAGGAGGGCTGACAATTTGTTCACTTGATAAGTGTTTGAGTCCCTGTATGTCAGACACAGACAGTCCCTGGAAGTACAACAATGAACAGGACACACACAATGCCTGCGTTCACAAGCCTCAAGTCTAGTGAAAACAAAGGGCCAGGCCCCTGCTAAGTGAACTGGGTGTCCCAGTAGAGCTCCAGACACGGCCGAACATGAGTGGGAGACAGGGCAAAAGCAGTGCCATACCGATCAAGGGCACACCAAGGAAGACAGGGGAAAGGCTGCACCAACTTGAGCACACAGATGCTTGTCCAGTAGACCCACTTCTTGGTGAGGAGCAGACCCCCTTGCACTGTCAGCGTAGGTCCTTCCTGGCCCAGAGGCTGAGGCTTTGCAGCCAAGTGACACTGGATGTGATGAGGTTCAACAAGAGCCTCAGAGTGCGTAACAAGTCAGCAGTCTCTGCCAGATGCACCCCATTCTGACCAAGCCTGGACATGAACTGAGCTGCCCAGTCTGTTCCCTAGCATTCTTTTTATTTTTTTTGCAGTACGCGGGCCTCTCACTGTTGTGGCCTCTCCCGTTGCGGAGCACAGGCTCCGGACACGCAGGCTCAGCGGCCATGGCTCACGGGCCCAGCCACTCCGCGGCATGTGGGATCTTCCCGGACCGGGGCACAAACCCGTGGCCCCTGCATCAGCAGGAGGACTCTCAACCACTGCGCCACCAGGGAAGCCCTCCCTAGCATTCTTGGCTGCTGACAGTCCATCCCTCAAATTGTGGACAGCTTCTAGAGGTTGTGTTACATCTGTTCAGAGTCCCTTTCCTAGTATTTCCTAAAATGAAATGAAGTGAAATGAAATAATATATGGCATAGTTACATAAGTCTTGTTTAAGCATGCAAAAAAAAAAACACAAAAAACAACAACAATGCTGTGTGGCCCAATAAGTAGAATTTAATTTTGTTTGTCATAGTGTTCATTAGTTTCCTAGGACTGCTATAACAAGGTGCCATTAATTGGCTTAAAACAATAGAAATGTATTGTCTCACGGTTCTGGAGCCTAGCAGTCTGAAATCAAGGTGTCAGTAGGGTCTCTATGAAGGTGCTAGAGAGAGGCGCTTCCTTGCCTCTTCTAGATTCTGGTGTTTGTGGGCAGTCCTTGGCACTCCTTAGCTTGTAGATGCATCACTTCAGTCACATGGCTGTCTTCTCCCTTCATATCTTCACATTGTCTTCTCACTTTGCGTCTGTCTCTGTGTCCAAATTTCTCCTTTTTATAAGGACGCCAGTCATATTGGAGTAGCTCCCACCCTAGTGACCTCATTTTAACTGGATAACCTCTGATTAGGTAAGACCCTATTTCCGAATAAGGTCACATTCTGAGGGCCTGGGAGGTAGGACTTCAACATATCTTTTTGAGGGAACACAATCCAACCCATAACATTTATTCTAGGTAATAAGTGGATCTTGAGTCCATTGCCAGGAATCTAGCCACATATTCTCTCTCCTTTCTCTCTCTCTCTTTCTCTCTCCTCTCCATCCCTGCCATCACATTCTATGAAAAAATAAATATGGTGTTTCTCAACCTGGAATATGTTTCTAGTAACATCACATTTTTTAAGCAAAAAAAAAAAAAAAAAACCTGCCTATACTATTTATTTAGGAATTAAACTATCAAGTACTTTGTGACATCCCTCAGATTATTTTCCTGTATTGCTTCTTCACTCTCATATTGGCACTAAACATCTCTTGTACCTATAGTCTGAACTGTCCAACTCAATTTTAGATTCATTGAGAACAGGGCTTCTAGTTATTGTTAATCTCACAGAGGAAAATTCTGGTCACAATCTATGGGTAGAACAAATGATTGAAAGCATGTCACAATATCCCCTATGCCTGCCACCAAACACACTGCTCCAGGCAAAATAACTCTGTCTGGGACAGTCCTGTGCAAGCTGGGATGTTTGGTCACCTTAGGACTCAAAATAGTTAAGGTTTAAAGAGCAGGTGAGATGGAGGCAAAAAAGTGTGGATTGTTTTTCTGAGAGACTCAACTCTAAAGAGAAGAAGATAGAGTAATATCTAGAGAAGGAAACAGGGTCAAGAGAATTTTTCACCTCTTTATTCCCCCTCTTTCTTATTTTTTAAACCATGCTGAAGGCCTATTTCTATAATGAAAGGAAAAAGTGAGGATGAGGCTGGAGATATAGGAGGCTAAGGATAATTGATGGAGCAGCATCTTGTCCTCATGAAGTAGAAGAGGCAGGATGCTGAGTCCCGAGGGTAGGAGAAGGTCCTACCTGCCTGAGAGAAAATCCCATGTGTGAAAGTGGGAATGGGAAATGGAGGGGGATTACAACAGATGCTTTCCATCTTGTCAGGATGCAGAGTGAGGAGAGGGGTGGGGTTGAGGCTTGAACGGAGATGAACAAAGGCTTGGAGACGTAAGAAAACAGTAAAACACATTCCAAGAACACAGGAATTCCCAGCTGAGATGGGGAATCCTGAATACGCAGCATATAACATAATTATTATCACCAGCTAGGCTAAGATCCCCAGCCTGTCCAAAGTCATACAACTACAGCATATCATAACATATTTCCAGTCTTGAAAAATATCTACCATTGCATTTAAAAAGACTTGTCTGTGGGCAAGTACATGGCTAGAAAGGAGACAAAAATACTTTTTAACAGGCTTCAGGAGAAAATGAAACATGAGAGGAAGCAAAAAATATACTCAGCCTTTGGCAGGACTATTATTAATGGGCACTCCTTACTGTACTGTGGTAGGCTGCACAGTCAGGCATACATGAGCTCAGACTGGAAAGCAACATGGGGAGAAGAGGAATCAGAGATGGGACAATTTGGAGGCTACATAGGGGCCAAGCACACATTCTTGGCATCCTGGATGGTTTGGAACCTTGACATAACGCCAAGACTTGGCTGCCTGGTACTAAGAACTATCTTTCTCTGGTGGTGGGCATTTATACATACCCTATGGCAAATCCTCATGATAACCCTTTGGGATAGTTATCCAATTTTGCCAAGGGGAAGACTTCCTTTCAATACAGTTAGCTAGTCCATGGCTAGTAAATTAGCAGAGATGAGATGTAGCTAAGCTGATTGATTTAGCCCCTCCCTTTGCCCTTCTTACTTTTCACCTACAACAGTGAGGATAATAACAATACCTAAGCACAAACCTTTGTAAGTATTAAATGAGGTCATGTACGTGAAAGTGTCAGGCACCCCACAGATGCTGCTTATATATTTGTCTAGCATAGTAGTTTTCAACTGGTAGCAATTTTACCCCCCAGGGGATTTGTGGTAATGGAGATATTTTTGATTGTCACAAGTAGGGGAGTGCTATCGGCATCTAGTGGGTAGAGGCCAGGGATGCTGCTAGACATCCTACTATGCACAGGGCAGTCCCCACAGCAAAGAATTAACCTGCCCAAAATGTCAATGGTGGTGATGTTGAATCCCTGCTAGTAGCGTAATGCAGGGGACTGGAAACCGTACACACTAACAAAGCACGGCAGAAGCAAAGTAACAGACAGGTCTCGGTGACAGGACACTTACAGATCTGGATCTTGGACCCACTACTTGCTTTTGACAAGTTATTTTAACCTGTCTGAGCCTCACTTTTCAAATGGGGATCATAATAGCATAAAGTCATTTCAATAAATTAAATAATTGCTGAATAATATTCTGCTAGCACAGTGGAATTAATCATTTGTTACCACCTCGCAATTTAATAGACACCAAGTTTCTAAACTTGCAAACGTTCTTTTCATAGTTAACAGGACTCTCTGCTGTATTTCTTGTGGTGCTTTCTTAAGACAGGTTTTATTCAGAAGAAAGTGACTTAGGGATAGTATTGAAAGCTGTCTGCCATGGCTCAGTATCTTGTTTTTTTTCCCAAATTCTTTTCTGAAAAGATCGCAGTACTTTTGATTTGGGCAAACACTGATCTAGACTTTAAAATCTTTTGCATAACACTGGGTTTCAACTTTCTCACATGTGGATACTCTTACAATCTATCTTGGCTGCCTGAACAGAGGCAGCTCTCTCTCCACTGCAACATAACCAGTAGGCAACATCTCGTATTGTCTGGGTGTTGGTCTCTCCTGACATTTTCACCGGCGAGGCTGCAGAACTGAAGGGCTCACTTTTTTCTTTCCAGCAGCTCACTTCCCACCCGGTCTTTCCTCCTCTGCCCTTCAATGATCCTGATATGCCATGAGTCCTGCCACTTCATGGCTGGTTAAAACATTTCTGATTTTTCCCCAATCTCCCTCTGATGAACGGATCAGACTCCAGGGGACAGTCTGGGAGAGTCTCCTTGGGAAACTTCACACCTTCACTATGCCCTTTAATGGAGAGAATGTGGGTGTGAGGAAGCACAGGAGGCAGAAACCAACGGGGGGGGAGGGGCAGAGTGGAACAAAATGACAGAGGGTAGAGAGAGTGTACAGCTTGTAAG